TGCCCAACAGATGTCTACCTGACCCCTATTTGAACACTTCCAATGAACGGGAGGCCACCACTTCTCTGTCTCGTTCCTAAGAGGAGTTTCTACGCTGGGCAGGCAGATAAGGCTTCCCAGGCTTGCATCTTTCTTTAGCCAAACACCAAACAGCTGGGGCTGAAGCAGAAGCAAGATCTAGCAGCAGTCTAGGAGTGAGCTAAAGAAGTAAAAAACAAAAAAAAACAAAAAAAAACAGAGGGTACAAGGGAAGAACGGGGTCAAAGGACAAACTGGGTCCTGGTAGTAAGTTGAAGGGCATTAGGCAAGGGAAGGACATTGGCCCCAGCACTGGATGAGTGTGGTGGTACCCTGAATACCGGAGGTAGGAACTGGTCAGTCAGCAGAGATCCATTCCTCCATTTAATTTTTGTTGATGTAGTTTGCTTTTTTGGCAGCCACATCATACTACAGAGGAATACTTTCACAAGTACTATGGACAAGCTAGGTCTCCCACACCCTAAGCCTGTGCATTTGATTTCTGCTTCCTACATGAGGAATGTTACATTTGTCTCTGTTAACATTTTTATCTTCAGCCCATTTTTCTAGCCTATCAAGGTGATTCTAATGTTGTTTCTCACTTATAGGATATTAGCTATCCCACACAATTTCAGACCATATGCAAATCTGAAAAGCATTCCTTCCACTTCTCATCCAAATCCATTACAAAAGTGTTAAAAAAGACTAAGCACTGCAGCACCCCACTTGATGCCTCACTCCACCGTGATGAGGAACTATTGATAAGCATTCTAAGTATGATTTTCAAGTCAGCTATCTATTCATTTACTTGTCAGGCTACCCGGCCCATATTTAACTAATTTGCTCATCAAAATAGCACGGGATGCTTTGTCAATTATTTGCTGAAATATTCATAGTGTTCCCATAAGGGAAGTGACGCAATCAGATATGATTCATTGGACCAGAGGTGTTCCTGAGAAAACTAGGCTGACTTCAGACAAGCACATTCACACTGTACTCCAGGACCTCACAAACTAATAATTATTTGCTACAGATACCAGATTGACAAATGTGTAATTCCCTGATCCTCCCTGCAACTTCCTGAAAGGAGGGACAATATTTGCTCCCCTCCAGGATTCCAGGATTTCTCAAACATGATAAATAAAGCTTTGGCTAGAACTTCAGAAAACTTCTTCAGCGCACTAAGATCCTACTGGTTCTGGAAATTTTAATTCATTCAAGGAAAACAGATACTCCTGGACCACATTTCTATCAAACTCAATCCTGTTTAGTTTGTTCTTCACAACTGCTTAGTAGAACATACATTTACTTAGATGAAATTGGGTGGAAGTAGACGTTGACTAGTTCCACCTCTTCTTTGCTACCACTTAACATTTTATCATTTTCTCTGAGCAGCTGATACACTTTTTCTCTTTTATTCTGAACCTGTCCAAACAAGCTCTTTTGCTGTGCCTAATTTCCTTCACCAATCTAAATTCACCCTGAGTGATTCTGACAATAAACCTACAATTCTGGTGGACTTTTCCTTGGTGACATATTTCCCTTTCCACTTCCTATCTGGCTTAAATTTTTCAGATCTTCCCTAAGCTTACTGTGCATTAATGCTGGCTTCTTCTGCTCTTGGAGTTATTTGCAATTCAATTTTCAATATCTCCTTTTTTTAAAGGTAGTGCCCCTCCCCCCCAAAATTTTGAGTTATTTTTCTCATCAGCTTCTTTCTCTATGG